GCGTCCTAAAGTTATTTCAACATGGTACTAATACTAATTTAACTGAAGCCCCTAAAAAGTGTTGCAGACATCTTTCAGACAAGCTTTCAGGATGCCATGCTTTGGTGTAAATTTTGCAAAACAAAATCCATTCGGTTACACTATGTTCTTTATTGTATTACTAGCAAAAGTGTCTGAAAAAGATTTTACTTTTTACAAAAAAAGTTTAAAACTAATTTTTTGAAACCTTATTCTTTAACCTGTGGGCAGGTTGTTAAACTTCATCTTAATAATTTTTAGAAATATGTAACAATAAAATTATTACTAATAATATAGAATAATATTTTCTCCCAGAAAAGGTAAACTCATATACTCAAAAAGGTTTTACAATTTTTATCATACTCTTAGCTATTCAATCATTTTAAACATTAAAACATATAAGCACAACATCTGGACAGGTTTGTCTCAAGAGGGGTGTAGGGGTGTATAACGCCCCTACAATTTTTTTTTTTAATTTGTCGGCAAATTTGAAACTGTAGTCGCAAATTAAATCAAATAAGGAGCTTTTTTTTTTTTTATTCGTTAGTTAGTATAAAACAGATACGTCACCCCCTTCCCTTTACGAAACATAGTGCCTTAAAATTTTTTCAGAGTACCATACAAGTTGAATAATAAAGGTATATTATTTGAAGAATTTTAAGCGTTAAAATGATGATGTCACCCCAATTAACTTTTTTATTTACCTTTTTACTTAAATTATAAAATCAAACATCACTTTTAAACCTCAAAAAATTTTAATGCTCAAAAAATTTAAAACACTATTTCTTTTTTGCTTTTTTAAATATAGCTTTTGAATGCTTATAATAATAAGAGTCGGCATAGAAGTTATTGCTAATTTATTTATAACTTTTTATCTTATTTTAAGATTGGTCAACAAAAAATTTGTATATTATTGCAACTTTATTGTATCTAGAATGGGCTCAAATTAGGTCAACCCACTACCCGAAAAAGAGTTTTCTTTTTATTTTGAATTATAATAATAGGACCTTGTATATTCCATTTTGGGGGTTGCAAGGCAGGAAAGGAGTGAGGGAAGTGTTATTTTTTCAAAATTTAATCCTTTATAAAATATTTATTTTAAATTAAACTAAAGAGTATCTTTTCTGAAGGCCTCAAAATTAACAATAATAAATTTATTTTAGCTAAATGTGTTTAGGAGCAAACATTATTTTTTAAGTATAAATCAATATTTGATTTTAATCTAAATGCAGCAGAAGCGTTTATGTCTTTTTTAAAAATAGCCTTGTGTTTCTTTACTATTATTACAATGCCCCTGTTTAGATTCAGCAACGTACTTAACATTAATTTCCTGTTTATGTACAGAAGTTTTATCTTTATTTTTTTAATTAATAATTATAGTATGATGACTCGGTAAATAATAGGTAAAAAAATAAAATTGAATTCAATTACCTTCAATCGTGTATAACAGGAAGTCATTTAATATGACACTTCAAAACAAATGAAGTGTATAAATACTTTTTTTATAAACTAAATAAAATGGAAGTTATTTTTAAAAAACATTACATTTTAATCTTCTAAAAAAAGATTTTAAGTTGCAAACTAAACCATGGAAAAGTGTTTTATTGGGTTTGAAAATATTGTTGACGGTTACAAGTAAGGTTTATTAAAAACTCCAAGTCTTTTAGGTTCATTAACATTTTCAAGTAATGAAAACATGAGTTGTTATCAAGAACTGGTTTCCATTTGCTTGTTCAAAATATTTTATAGTTTTCTATTATTAGAGAAAACTTTTAAACAAAAATTTTAGAAATCTTGTAATCTGTTTAAAAAACATGAAAATAGAAGTTAAATTTTATATTATTTAAAACTAGACTAAAAATGGTTCAAATAGCAATATTTGTTTTTTATTTTTATAAAGTAAATGTACAATTAAAAACATATTGTTCTCAATGACAACAATTCCAAAAACTCAAGGCATTCCTGCTGAAAATAGATTATGAAGTAGCTCATAAAAAAAGAATACAGTGCATAAAAGAAGTATCACATGAATAAAACTATAGAACAAGAACAACTATAGAACAAGAACAACGTGCATTTTGTAATAAATATATTAAAAGGTATCACTTACTTAAATCAGTGTCAAAACATCAAGGGTGTTTCAACACTGATTTAAGCCCCAAGCTGTCTAAAGCAAATTTGACCAAACTACTGAAACTACAACAAACAAATTTACTGAAACAGCAACAACCCAAACAACTAAAGTTTATGCTGTTAATCCTTGGACTATTTATTGGTCCATTTATACCATCTGCTATACTACTAAGTTCTTCTAAAGGTTGACAATCTATATGCACCTTTAAATGAATTTAAAGATAAACTAAAAAACATGACATTGTAATTGCACCAAAATACAGATGTTAACACTGAAATCATGTAAAATCACTAAAAAATCTTCAAAATGTTTTTTGAAACTTATACTAAAATCCTTTATTATGCCCGTAACAAGTCTTATTATAAGAAAAAAAACTCTAAAAAAAATTACGTCCTTCATTCTTATTTCTTTATGTACCCACCCACCCCTTTCATTTTGACTGCACAAAAATCCTCTTGCCCATTTAGCATTATGAGTTCAAAATAATAATTTTTTTTTGTGTGTGGGAGTGATGAAAGTAGGGGGAAAATTGGAAAAAATACTGTATACCTCCTTCAACCTTGAGCCCACCCAAGGTAAAATAAAATTATCAATAATATATAAATATATTATTGACCTCAATATCCTCTAAAGCAACTAAAATGTAGGTATCAAAAGGTTTGATACCTATATTCTATGTTTGAAAAAGATTCTAAAAAAAATGAACTGAGGTAACAATAAATTTTGACTGTTAAAATACTCTAAATTATATACCTTTATTATTCAATTTACATGTACTTATAGTTTTCTAAAAGAATTATTTTAAATAATATTCTATCCATCATGTGAAAGACTACATACTAAATTTCAGGTTGGTACCCCAATTCATTTATTAAATATCGCTATTTAATAGTAAAAAAAAATACTGCAAAAAATGCTGGGATATATTCAGCAAAATTGAAAATTATCATAACAATTTAAGGAGTTTTTTTCTAATTTTCTTGAGCTCTTTAACACATAAAAAATATTAGTAAAATCCAAAAGATTAGGTGAAATTTGTTTGTTTTTCCTGTTAATTTAACGCGAAATAACCCGTAAAAAAATCTTACATAACATAAAGCTTGATAAAAAAGTAATAAAAGGGCTACGGATAATCAAAGTCCTCTTCAACTTCAATGCGGTTGTAGCATAACATATGATTTTGGTGAGTATCGCTCTTGCAGTTAATGTCAAAAAATATTTATGTTAACGACACTGGGTAGAAGTTTTATGAAACAAGATTTAAAAAGACAGCACATTCTACCAATCAGATTCAAGGGTATATTTTTGTTAGCTTTTGAAACGTGATATTTGTACATATATGTTTTACGTTTTCAAATAAACAAAAAAAACTAAAGTTTGTTTGCGCTTCAATATTTACATTTCGCTAAAAAATATCAAACATAATATTTATGATTATGTTTTTGAAATCATTGCATTATAGAAGAAGTTTACCTAAACTTTTTAAATAGCATAAATAGGCTATCTAATATTTATCAAAACGCAATGAGCTATCGCTCTTTTTCAAAGGCGTTAGGTGAGACTTTTTGTTTTAAATTTTTAACAATATTTTCAACACCATCAGCAAGAGTGAAAATGCTTGTAGGAAATTGTATGTTTGATCATTTTTTGATTACAGCTATCAAAATTATTATTGCTTATCATCATTAACGCTGATCATTTAAGTTATACGCTTTGTTCTATAGATATTTATATAAGATAGTATAAATTATCAATTACGTACTTGGTTTTAATCAAATCATAAGGAAAGGTTGCGTAAGTTGAGCATGTTTTCAGTGTAATGTATTTTGCTCCCAAAAAATTACAAAAAGATATATATATTTTTAAGAATAATGATAGTTTAATCTTTCCTCTCAAAGAATATAAATGAATAGTTCATTTAAAAAAAAATTTATACCAAAAACTGCGTTATCTTTAACACACCAAATCATTTCATCTTAGGAAGCCAGTTTCCTAAAAAGAGCTTTTTTTAATAGAACTCAAAAAAACTCAAAATAACAAAAAAAATAATCACAAAAAAAAATTAAATAAAATTGTATCTTCAAGGTTTAAAATTAAGTAAAAAGTAATTATCTCAAAAATACTATTTAAAAAAAAAACAATAATAAATCTTTCCTATCTCTAAAAAAGTTAACGATACTATTTTTTTGAAAAACCTTCGCTCTTGAAATACCAAAATAAAGCCCCGCGGAGAATACCTTTAAAAAAATGCGCTTTTCTTTATAAAAAGCCGCATCTCATCTTGAGCGTATCATCTTAAGCAACTTCACCAAGTACTATGATAATTTAAATAGCATGGCAACAATATTTAAAGATTTATTATTTTGATATAATAACAAATCGTTACTAATTGTATGTATAGCGTAAATTCAATTGTGTGACGTTTTAAATTAGCCTAAAAAAGCTAGTTGATTAAGTAAGTTTTAAGTTATGAAGCAAACTCAAAACTCTTATGTACGCTCATACCTATAAAGGTTGTAAAATTAAAAAAAATTAAAACTGATTTAGAGTAGGAAGCTAGCATTTTTGGGTTTTATAGTTCTAAGACATTTTCTAATTTTTTGAAAAGCATTATTACTCATAAATATAAATATCTACAACTTTCAGGCATGCTTCATTCAAGTCCTCTTTAAAAAGTCTTTAAAAATCTCCGAAAAAACACCCTAAAAAAAAAATAATATAGAAACTAATTGTTGATAATTATCACTACTATCGTCTTTATCAAACTTTAGGCGTAAACAATTATTCCAAACTTTGTTATTATTATTATTATTTTTTGACGTTTACATTAACTTAACAAACTTTACTATAATATGTATAATATAAACCTTCCCGTAGTTAATTTATAAAACACTCTTGGATAAATTGATGGAGTTATCGAATATATATAATGGGACATTGAGGAATGAAAAAAAAACACAACTGCCACCAAAAAATTACGTAAACCCACTTAACGGATTAATATATGAGCGACTACTCAGAAGAAAGTCAACAACAGTTAAAGATAATGCATACGATAGTAGCACTAATTCAGACTCGGATTCTGAGAGCAAAAGAAGACGTCACTTACGCAGAGTTTCTCTTAACATTCAGAATAACTCGAAGCCACTTTTAAATCAAAAAACTAAACTAACACGTCTTGTTCATGAAGAACAAATGTGCGTTAACGGTACAACTAAAAGTAGCACACAGCAAACCGAGAATAATGGTGAGAGACTCTCTAGTTAAAATGATGTGTTAAACAAACATAAAAGGAAATCAACTTTTATTTTATCATGTTTGGATTGGTTTAATGATAAATTTAAATGCTAAATGTATAAAGTTGATGTAAAATAAGTTAAGTAATTTTTACAGTCAATTTTAAAATTGTTGATACTTGATTCTTCTTTCAGCTGACAAAAAGGTTTCACGTAGTGGAAGTACACGACGAAAACAGTGGCTTTCTTCCGAGAGGTCTAGTTCAAAATCGCAGTCTTCTATTGACGGCGCTTCTGATTCACAAAAATGTAGCTCACGTAGAAATACCTTGAACAAAGCATTTGATCAACATGAGGCTGATAAACTTATTCTAACCGACACAAGGTATTTTATTTTCTTCACTAAAGTAGAATATATGTATAAAGCATTTAAATTTAATGTTACAAATATAAAATTGCATAATGTGTGTCTAATTACAAAAAAAAAAAAAAAACATTTTTGTTTGTAATTAGATTATAGTAAAAGATATTTAAATATATTTATTTTTATTGGCCGCATGTTATTAAGCAAAAATTTAGAGAACAAAAACAAACAAACAAGTTACAAAAAATGAGCTTTAGAGCTAAATAGCATGTCTTTAAATTAATTCTTTTAATAATAACCCGGTAGGGAACTGGCTAAAAACTAGCTTGCGATATTCGTAATAATAAAGATAGCGATTCGGCCACGAGGATCACTAGTTTAATTAGCTAGCAACAAACTAGCTAGTGACAACTCGCTACGTTAAAGACAACGGTTTGGCCATAAGGCCAAACCGTTGTCTTAAGCGTTTTGTTTGCTAGAAAAGAAAGCAATCAGCTAGCAATTCAGATTTTATAATTATATTACTCATATTATATATATATATATATATATATATATATATATATATATATATATATATATATATATATATATATATATATATATATATATATATATATATATATATATATATATATAGTTATTAGGGGGCCCAGATATCCTTAAGGTCTTATCACAGAGCACCGCAGAAGAGCATTTAATTAGAAAGTTCACGCCTCCGTCCTTACCAATTTCGCATATTGAGGGAATACTTTTTTACCAATGTCTCATACTTTAATCTTATTATACTACTACCTTATTTACTATGGTGCCACCACAGTATGGTAACGATAATCACCTCTATGTATGAAGTTAAAAGGTTAACACAATCTGTGAAGCAGGCATTCATAATTTTTACGGCAGACCAGCAACTTTTTTTCTTAACTGTAAAATTGTTATGGGTACGTCCAGCGAGATTTAGATTTATGGGTACGTCCAGCAAGATTTACTTTCATGTACGATTAGAAAGAATGCACACTCTTACGTCATTTGTTAGTTGTGTTGATTAGACAGACTATCTAACGCCGGTCTTTATTATGTTAATATTTACATGACAAACGCGAAAGTTAATGACCTTTGCAATGTGGACAAGTTAATAAGTATTCTGTAGTCTGTATTATTGTAAACTATTCTGTAATTTTTAAAATTGAAGATAACTAATTCCTTCCTTTTTAATAATTATTTTACTTGTCTCAAAACGTATTTTTTGTTAAACCTTACATCTTATATTCAAGATAAAGTGTAGTTTACCGTTATATACACCGATATTTTGCATAATATTTGCATAAACATTTAAATTCATATATTTAATTTTGGCTGCTGAATTTCAATTTTAGAAAAATGGGGAAATTCTGTATTTTTAATCCTTTTAACTTTTGATATTTAAAGTTGCCTAAGTTTACCTGGCACTCCGCATATTATATAAAACAGTAATAGAATCAATTATTAATTATTAGATGCACCCTATTTCAAGGTCACTTGGCTCAGCAAATGGACAAATAAAAGATTTCCAATTTTTGATTACAATAACCTTTTTCATTACAATAACAATAAATTGTTATTGTTTTATAAAGATGAACTATAATATAATGTTTATTGTTATTGTAATGTGTCATTACCTTTTTTTAAGATATTGTTACAGTATTATGAAGATGAATTAGAATACAATATTTATTGTTATTGTATTACAATATTTAAATAATTGTAAATCATAAGAATTGTTATTGTTTCTTAAAAAACTAACATAGTAACAATAGTTATTGTATTTGTTATTGTTTTCATTATTTTCATTATCATTACAACAGTCCGAACCCTAAGTACAAGTAAATACAAGTTTCAATGTCGCAAGTTATGATGAGTGTTTCATTTCAGCCTGTTTATGAGCTGTGGAATATGAAGATGTTGTTAAACAACTATACCTACTAATAATTATGACTATGTACAACTTATATTCATTGGATATAATACTTTTGACGTCTTATTAAAAACAATTTAGATAAATTTTTGCTCTACATATATAATCTTTTAATTTTTGATAACGAGTTCAGAGGCGTTTCTACAAATAAAGTATGGTGGTGGAAAGGGGGGCGGTGAACCCTTAAAAAGTACCAACTAGTTCCTTAAAAAAAAAAAAAAAAGTCCCTAAAACTAAAATTCATCCGATTGAATTGTGTTAAATACTCGGCTACCCAATTATATTTGTCAAAAACCAAGTATAACTTGAAAATCACCTTCTTCAAGGAAGAAAGGTAGGGGAGATGAGGAGGGGTGTTCCACCCCTCCATTTCTAAAATTGCCTCTGAACTAGTTTAGTAAAATAGCTATTTAAAAAGTACTTACAATACTTCAAACAACACTTCTATCAACTTTATCTATTGAAAGTTCAATAGAACCAAAACTTTTGTATTCAATTTTTAAGTTTAATCAGTTTTAAAAATTAAAATTAGAATAAGATTGGACTGTTATCAACTTTGATTGTGTTTTTTAAGTTTTTCATTTTAGCTCAATACTTTAAATAAAAACAATAAATTGTTTACTCTTCTTAATAATTGTTTACTCTTCTTAATAATTGGTTGCTCTTCTTTGTTCTAGATGACGTTTTTAAACGTCATCTAGAACAAAGAAGAGCAACCGGTACATTCACAGAGTGAACCTGTCAGATTTAATATTAAAAAAAACTTTGAGTATCCCTTGATCTTTTGAGTATCCCTTGAGTATACTTTGAGTATCCCTTGGCTCTGTAATTTTATGTCTTAAAACTTTAATGATCTATATATGATGCTTTTCTTTAACGTTAAAGATTATCGAAAAAGGGCTTCTATGTTATCTTTGTTTTCAAACAGCTTTTTGACCTCTCAAACCTATAGTATAATATAATGCTTGCCCATATAGAGAAGCAAGCATATCAAGTATATCATATAAATTTTCTTATATTACGCTCAGACTTCCATGCTACTGTTTACTCGCGACTCAATTTGATTCATCCTAATATTAAAAAACTAATTAATATATTATTGAGCTACAAAAGCGAAATTGAACCATCCAATTCTATTTGCGTGACTTTAAGAACAAAAAATTGAACGGCAAAAGTGTTGAAATTACCAGCATTAACAATTTCAATGGTTAGGGTGTTTTGTTTACTAACAACTTCATTAGCTAGACCGTTCTATTTGTTAATGAATTCATTGGTTATACTGTTCCGTTTTTTATTAATCCTAATGGTGAAAAAAAAAACAATCTTACTGAAAAATAAAGGTTTTTACTCCTGAACTACGAACTGTTTCATAATTCAGTAAATTCATTGTTTTTGCGTATATATTATTTCTTAGTATATACTTGCAATTTACTTATCTCCTCTCATTATATAACATCTCCCTTCTTTTTTCTAATAATATTAACCACTTGTTTTCAATTTATCTTTATAAAGTATACGTTTTGATCATTTAATCCTTGTACGTTTAGCTTAGTATGTAATAACAGACTTTGTAAAATTGTAAATAAAAATTCCCAAGTATTTATAGCTAAAAATGCTAGTACCAAGTATCAAGAAAAATTTTGATAAAAGTAGTTAAAAAAAATTCCAGTATGTATTGAGAGATCTTGCATTTATTAATGTTTATAAAATAAGTTTTACAAATGTAAAAATATCTTGTAAATTTAAGTCATTTTAAAATATTTAAAATAATGTTTTTTATTCCTTTTTGACTGCTTTAATCACGTCAACCGACAAGAAAAATTTGTTTAAAAAACAAACTTAGTCTGATTTTTTCGCGAAGTTTCAAAAGTTATACCCAGATCATAACAAGGAGTTGTAATAGCGTAGCTGGATGGAGAACGAAGTTAAAATACGTCATTTATACATACGTCATTGTGCGGCCAAGGCGCATTGGTTAGAGCGCCTGCTTTATAAGCATGAGATCCAGGTTCGAAACGATGTCTGGACATATTTTCGCGTCACGATAAGGAAAGAGGCGTAAACTTCCTGGTTAAATACACTTCCGCGATGCTCTGTGACAAGACCGTTAGGATGTTCTTGGGGCACCTAAAAATAATAACAAAAAAAAAAAAAAATTCAAGAGTCTATTCTAGTAGTAACATAATTTTCATTTAAACACCGCGGAATTATCATAATTTAAAGTTAACCAATCACATTCCACTTTTAACAAAAGCTATCCAATGATATTGTTTCATAACGTCATTAGCAATTAAAGCGTTGCAAATAAAATAATGGAAGTTTAAAAAGTTCGTTAACAATATATAAAGTCAGTTTGTTGTTATTTATTGTTGTGCTTTTTGTACGACTAATAATAAACTTCTAGATTAGAATTGAATTAATAAATGTCTAGATAAGAATTGGTAGTATTTTTATCATGTATTTTATATCTCTTTTTATTTTTACCATGTATTTTATATTTAAAATAAAGCAATTTGCTTTTCAATCCAGTAAAAATACTCCAAAACAAAATAAAATCTTGGAGTAATAAGTTTCTGGCCAAAAGAACTGTCTTAAAGAACGTAACTAGCCTATAGCTGCACAGGCAATCAAAAAATAAGGTTCAAATAGGTAGTAGAAATTGTATAAAACTTTGATATTTATACCTATAATCAAGGTACGCAAGAAACAATTACTTCAACTTAATCGTGATTTTTGATTTAACCAACTTCTTGATTGATCGAATAGTTGTTAAAAACATATCCAACAAACTTTTATTTTATTAATTCATTTCGATTACAACTCTCAAAACTTACTGATTACATTTCAAAATTTTTCATTTTTTTGCATTTTGACTTGCTACTGGAATAATTATACTACAAAGACTGTAACGCGATTTAAATCCATTTTCGGCTTCTTTCTCCCTCCAGCTAAGCTATTATACCTCCTTGTTCATATTAACAATAAAACACATTTTATTTTTAAAGTGCATTAAGTTCTTATTATGAAAAGTTGTAAAAAGTAATAATAAATACTGCAACGTTTTTGTATTATTTTAAAAAGCTTGTGTTAATATAAAACAACGTTGCTATGTTGTTATATTGCTGTTTTATATAGTTAATAACATTAAAACATAAATCGGATTTAAAATAAAATGTGCTTTATTGACATTATGAACGGGGTTTAAATCCAATATAAAATTACTTTCAAAATTTTGCAGTTAGCCGGACCCTTCCAATTATTGGCCAATAGTAATCTTACCAATTAGAGCAACAGTATTTAAGAAGGTTGTGGTTCATCAATTGCAAAGATAAAACTGCGAACTCCAGAACTTTCTAGATTAACAGTAAGGTAGTTTTTGGCAACACTCCGGATGTGAAACAGCAATGTCGACTGCCATCAATTCAGGGCATGGTTCAATTGATCAGGGAATGTATGTAGGTGCACTATTGATAGACCTTTCCAAAACCTTTGTTAGAGTTCTTCATTAGAAACTTCTGCGCAAATTAAATAGGATAGGATGCATAACTAGATCCGGACTCTGGTTAAAAAGATACCTGGAAACTAGACAGGAATGAGACATAACAAGAACTAAAATAATATCTTGGAAACCAATCAGTAAAAGTGTACCGCAAAGCGGAGGTCTTAGTCCATAGTTATTAAATACCTACACTCGGAACCAACCTAGTGAAATTACATTTGAAACAATACAATAAACATATTATATAGTTATTTCTTAAGCAAACAAGGGTTAGCTGCGGAAAAACTAACAAATGCTTTTAACTAAGCTAAAAACTTCTGTAAGTAACTCAAGGTTACAAAACACAGCTAATTATTTTCAAATCTCCAAGAAAAATGTTTATTTATTGATTTCCAAAATACTGCTAAAGAATTTTGATACAATTCAAAAAAAAAAAATCAGCACATGCGCCTAAAAACTCCAATCCAGCACTACTTAATTAAAGTCTTAAACCAAGTTGCACCACGAAAGAAGTCTATGTATAATGATAATAAGAAAATCTTTCGAAAATGTCACCCTGCAATGCTGGTAACTTTGACAATATCATGTAAGTCGTAAAGTAAACCAGAACTAACCATAGATTCAGTATACTATAACCAGAAATTATGTATACTGCAGCAGTTTTTCAAAACGCCTTAAGGTAAAAAAAATCAAATTTGACTTTTTTACAAAATAAGGTAGTTTAGATGTCTACAAACGTTATTGAATAAATATTTTTGAAGAACTATATTCATAAAAATTGTTTGTTTCAAAAGACGTTTTACATATATATATTATAATATATAATATTATATATATATATTAATATATTATAAGGCGTTTTAAAAAACGGCTCCAGTATAGCTGAAGCGAAACTATATATAATAATGTTTTAAAAAAAAGAAAATTCAAAAATTAAAAACTGAAAAATATAAAACAAAGTGAAAACAAAAAAGTCAGTAGTGAAAGTCAATAAGTTCATACTAGTATTAGAACTCGAGCAACAGTAGAAGGGCGGGAAACCAAAGCACAACTTACCAAAGAACAATATGTGACCGGAAAATCAATAAACACAGAATTATAGAAAGCAGTTATACTAGATGAGATAAATGTTAAAATATTTTTATGACATAAGTGTCCAGTTTGTACAAACGAGTAAAAATGATAAATAAATAAATAAATCGAAAGTGCTAATGATTTACCAGCTAATGGCTTAGGGTGAAAAAAACAACAACTATTTACCTCACGGCGAAGAAAAAACATTTCATAAGATTTTGTCATGACCATCGGTTTCACCTAAATAATTGTCACTCCAAATTGATTAATTTGGACTGATATAATTCAGGTGACACGATGTAGCGTTATATACATTCATTTAGTAAATACACGATGACATTTATGGAATGTTTTGGTACAACTTATTATTATTGCGTACATTTATTTTTTATGATTGTAGATAATTATTGGCTTAATAAGGCGATAGATTTTTTTTTTGACATTTTTGCATTTACCATTGTCAATATATAATAGATATGTCTGTTGTATAAATTAAGCTATAAAAAATAAATCATCGTCCATATGATGATTCATATATATGATGTCAGCAACAACAAAAACAAATATGTCAATATTTTAATTACATAAATATCAAAAAATGTTTGTTTATAATTAATGTTATAATCTTCTAAACAAATAATTCCAATGAATTCGTCAAACATTTAGTATTAGGTTAAGAATATATGTAAATAGTATGTAACGAAATATAAATGACAGTTTTATAAACTATTGAAACATAAATATATATATATATATATATATATATATAAATATATATATATATATATATATATATATATATATATATATATATATATATATATTATTATATACATATATATTATATATATATATATTATATATATATATATATTATATATATATATATTATATATATATATATATATATTATGTATATATATATATATATTATATATATATATATATATATATATATATATATATATATATATATATATATATATATATATATATATATATATATATATTGTTAATAAAAACTATAGGCAAAATGTTTTTGTCTTTTGTTTACGTGCTAAAAATAAACTCAGACATTTTTATAATAGAGTTGTTTGAGTAAGTAAACCTCATTAATCTGGTCTTCTCAAACTCTTTGTACTTTAAAACTTTTTAATTTATAAATCAAAGTTTTAAATTCTAAGGTTAATAGCACAAATTCATTTTTTTAAAATGATTTTTTTAAACTAATATTATAGTATTTTTTAATGATTTTTTGCCTGGTGTTGTAGTTCATTTTAGTTAGCTAAATTTTTATGTCAGCATCTTTCTTTTATGTTTTAGCATTATTCCAAATGGTAATAAAGATACACAGATAATTAGTAATTCCAGTAAGTAGTTTAAATATGTGAGTACAATAACAAATAAAAGTTTAAAAAAAAAAAAAGAAGATAATTTTAATAGTTAGACTAAAATGTTTTTTATATTAAATTATTTAATTTTGTATTATTGTACTTAAGTATTCTAATTTAACATAGTTGTATTAAGTTAAAAAGTTATGAAAAAAATTTATAAATAATAATAATAATAATAAAATGTATACAAGTTTCTGTTTTTGAATCAAATTTATTTCAGTGAAACAAATAAAAACTAATAAAGATATTCTGTTTATATAAAAGTTTATATTATATTTATTTTCAAATTTATAATATATACTTTTTAAATTTATATTATAAATTCAAATAAAGGTTTACATGCAGTAGCATAAATAAACTTTAATATAACTTGTTTTAAGCTAAATATAAAACCATTATTTTTTGAACTCCAAATGAAATAGTATTTTTAGTTTTAAGATTATATTAAATCAGCTTGTTTTGTGAAATATCATGCTTATTAGTTAATTTTAATAAATTGCAGTATTTATAAGGAGCACATTATGATTTGTTAAATTTTTTAATTATTTAAAAATATCGTTGGTTGTTTAAAAATTTAAGAAAAAAATGTCATAAAGAATTTCTTGAGGTCATAGTTAAATTTTTGTTTGTAACTGTAAAGTAGTAATATATTAATATTAAATACTGTATAATAAATTGATTTTCAGTATTTAAATATTAAATACTGAAACTCAATTTTCAAATTTTCTAAAAGTTTCAGAAGGCTAATATTAAGAGTGTCATTTGAACATTTTAAATTGTATATGTCATCAACATTGTCAATTTTTTTACTTATTAATTTTTATCTTTAATTAATCAAATAACTTTTGTCAAGTTTTCCAATACAACATGCAATAGACTTGTCAGGATGTAAACAATTTTAAAATTATTCTTGTTCTAAATTTGATTTATGTGTCATTTATAACATATAGATTAACATTAGTTCTGCACTTAAGTAGTTATTTACTTATCAATTTAATATCAAAGGCCTTTCAGACCTAACTTCACTCATAAAAACTTTTTTTTCTTTCGTAAGATAAATCTCTCCAAAATTATTCAAATTGTTTCTAGAAGTGTAAAACAAGTTCATTTCAATGATGTAGTTAAAGAAAAGTTAGCCCAAATAGACTTTTGGGGATTCACATACATGTCATTTTAGGGTATTTCACTTTTAGTGCCATATTTTTTTCCAGAATAACTTAGATATCAATGAACATATTAACAACAAAGAGTTTTTGCTATAAATCATTATGTTGGTAGATTGGTATAAATCATTATGTTGGTATGTTCTGGAAACATGATTTACAAAAAACAATAAAAGATTTACTCAAATATAGTTATGATATATAACTTGTAATAATTCTTTTGTATTCTACACCCTTGATTAACCCAGAAGACAGTTTTAAAATACTTTAAGTCATTATTTTAAATATATAAAAGCTCCAAAAGCAATTTTTAATTACTGAATCTAATCAATACCTAGGTTTGTCTTACAAGAAGTCCTCTAAAATTCAAAATAGTTATTGTTTCAAAATAAAACTTTTGAAAGTTTTAATGTACATTATTTAAAGCAAAATTGATAACAATGATGATGATGATGATGATGATGATGATGATGATGATGATGATGATGATGATGATGATGATGATGATGATGATGTGATTAGAGAGAATGAAATATACAATTTAATGGGTTATTTAAACAGCACTTAATTAAAATTGATATGAGTATATAAAAAAAAAATTGATACCAATTAAAAAAACAACTTACAGTAAGAATTAAAAACAACTAGTTAACAAAAATATTTTTTTATTTTTCTTGTCATAATGTTGAATTTTTAAGAAGTTTTACAGGTGAAAGATTACAACATCTGTCCAACAACATCTGTAGAGTAGTCCAAGATCATCTGTATTTTTTTTTATTCCTACAACATCTGTCCAATATCATCTGGAAATTCAATGAACAACATTTACTAACTTAATTACTAACTTAATTTAACTAATTTACTAACATTTACTCTAACAACATATTTAGGAAGATGCAACTACATCTGGTAATTTTTCTCCATGTCCAATTACAATAGAAACATTTCCTCCAAATGTAATTACATCTGAAAAAAATCATATATATATATATATATATATATATATATATATATATATATATATATATATATATATATATATATATATATATATATATATATATGTACATATATACACACGTCTGGTTGAGATAATGCTATTTATATTTATTATTTTTTCCTGATGTAACTACATCTGAAAAAACCATATATAAAACTACATCTGGTTAAAATAATACATAATTGTTTATTAATTTCATAAAATCCTGTAGTTATATTTAATACAGTTAAAAAGATGTAATTGCATCTGTTGAATTCACAGATGTTTATTCTCAGATAGTTATTCTTAACATAAATGAAAAGATGTAACTACATCTGTAAAATTTCAAGATTTAGTTGCACAGACGTTGTTATACTTAGATGATTAAAAAGATGTAACTACATCTGTAGTAATCATATACTTTTAACACAGATGTTATTAGACATCAATGAAATTTCAGATGTTGTTGGACAAATGTGTGGTGAAGTTACTGATGGTGGTAGTGGTAGTGATGATGGTAGTGTTAGTGATTTTTGGTGGTTGAGATGACAAAGACTCATGTTGAGATTGTGGTATTTCAAATCTATTAATTATTTGTAACTTTGACTGAATGATTTTATTGGTGTCAATTGGAAACAAACCTGTGTTTTGAAATCCAGTGACTATTTTAAGTCTGCTTCTAAAAACTTATCTAGAATTTAAAAGTTTTGCTTGCAGTTGGTTAAAGTATTCTTTGGACTAAGCTTTGTCTGCATAAAACTATTAAAGTAGTTTTCGCCAAAATTATTTGACATGGCAATAAATACCATCCTAAAGTACAGAATGTGTGAAGAATGAGCTGGAAAGCAAATAAGCAAAATTTTATTTTTAATGCAACTAAGTATAACCACGGTAACATGTGTCAATCTACGACTAAAATATGAATGAAATATAATTGATAACTGCAATAACATTTAATTAAATAATTAGTTAAACCAAATACTATATTCTTAACCTGGAACTTTTTAATGGCAGGAACATATGCCAGTGAATACCTGTACTAATTGCAAAAATATATTTTAAGTTCATATTAACAAAAAAATATATCCATTTTTATGAAAAAAAAATAATTCATTTTAATAAAATTTTTTTTTTAATTTTATAGTATCTTATTCAGAAAGAGATTTTCTACAAAATAATTGAAAATTATTTAATAAAAAGTTTATTCAATTAATAAAGAGCAAAAGAATAAACATTCCATTCCACCCCCTGTTTTATTCTAAAATAAATTCTATTTAGTTTTACTCTATTGAAACGTTCTATTAAATATTTGATTTTATTTTTAATTAGTTTATCATTTTGAAATCAATATAAAAAAATGTTTAACTTGATTTAAAAATGTGAATTTTGGATTAGTAAAAGCTTTCAAATAAAGTAAAAGCTTACAAAAAAAAAAAAAAAATTTAGTTAAGTTTTAGTAATAAACATACAAAAAAGTATTACAGCAAATATCTAAATCAAAACTTTTGTTTTCTAAAAAAGATATAAATATATTCTCTTGAAGATTCTTATAATGCCAACATAAGAATTAAAAAAATAAATACATAGACTGAAGTTATTAATTCAAATTTTAATTTATAGTTATTTCAAAACATTTAAATATTTATAGTTATTTCAAAACATTTAAATATTTATAGTTATTTCAAAACAGATGACTTATCTTGTTGTAATTTTTATTTAATTCTATTAAATAAAAAATGGTTGCTTTGTTTTATCACTTTGGATTATCATTTTGTATTATTGTTTTTTATTCTCCATTACCAGTTTTATTTTAAACTATGGTTTTCTTAAATAACTTTTGTTTTTGTATATTTTATAAATATTGTTTAAAAATACATTTAGTAAGGGCTTTGTGTAGGTCATTTATGTTAATCAATATGAAATATTATAAAATATTATTGTGGTTATTAAATTTCATAAAAATATATTCTTAAAAAGTTATAAATTATAATATTTATATATATCAGGGACTATTCTAGACCGTTTTCGACATTGTCAACCATATTTGGGCATTGCCCAAATTAAAATTTGAAAACCTTTTTTTTTTTTTTTACAGCAAATATCATTTTTTTTTGCAAAAAATTGTTACTTATGGCAAATTATTCTCCTAGAATAACCCCTGTATATATATATATATATATATATATATATATATATATATATATATATATATATATATATATATATATATATATATATATATATATGTGTATTAATATGATTTAAATTTGTATTTCTGATTTGGTTATTAACTTTTATTTTGATTAGCATTGAACAAACCTGAAAACTCAACCAACACTATGTCAGTATCCCTTGATTTAGGACAATCTATTTCGGTCCATATTGTACCATCACCAATTATGACACAGAGGTAGCAAAACTACATTTTTTAAATTCTATTTATTTCATATTAAATTTGAATTTCAGTAGCTTTTACAATTTTATGATACATAATAATATTTCTTGTTAAGTTACATAGTTTATTTTACTAAGTTGTTATATTTATTTCATAAGTTGTACTGTTTTATAATGAAGTTACATCAACTGTAAGTTCTTAATTGGATTATAAAATATATAAAATATCTTTTTTAGAAAAGTAAGTCAATCTCAAAAATCCTTCGATCCCAATGAATCACTTCCTGATCTTACTGAAATCAAAAAAGCAAATAACAGTTTAGATCGTCTTAAACGCGATTATCATCTTTCCAATGTAGAGATAACAGCGTTGCGTGAAATTCTTAAGAAAGCAGATTTATATGATAGTTTAGTGCGTGAACGAATGCATGAAGTTCTGAAAGTTGAAAATAGCAACACAGAGTGTATTAATGATATTGCTGAAAGGGTTATTGTTGAGAAAGAGATTGTGTCTTTAAAAGAAAAACTTTTTGCTTCTCGCAAAGAACTTGATTCTTATATATCTTTTACCAAAAAAATGGAGAGAGAGAAAAGACAATCAATGTCAGAGAAAGAAGAACTTGAAACAAAAATTCAGTGGCATGAGCGTAGGCTATTACGTTTTGAAGGAGAGAATAAAGCGTTAAAGACAGAACGTGCAGAGTTACTTAATCAAATTTACGAATTACGGGGAAAATCTCTTAAGATTAAAGACTTAGGGCGAGCTAAATTATTAGAAAACAATTTATCACCACAAACTGAGTTAGGGAACTCAAAGTCAAGTTTAATTTACGATGCTGAAAGTTTAGCTCAGGAGCGCATAAAGTTTAATCTGGAACGCCAACGCTTGGATGAAGAAAACCAAAAAATGCTCACTAAGTGTACAACTCTTTCTGCACAATTGCAGCATCTTGAACGTGTAGTAGAGGATTTAAAGGAAGAAAAAGATGTCCTCAAAATAAAAAACGAAAAACTTACTAAACAAATGTTAGAAGAACAAAAGTCTTTTCAAGAACTATTTGAATTTGACTACCATTCTGCTAGAGGTAAATTAGAAAATACAGTTATGTCAGATTTAATTGATGCAATGAAAAGTGAAAAAGCGCACGAAGAAACTCGCTCTGAACTACTTCAACTTGAAAAAAAGTTTGAAAAGTTGCAGAATGATCATCGTGCAACTTTAGAAGTTAATATTCTCAAAGAGCATGAAAATTTGGATTTGATTAATAAACTAAAATCAGTTACAAAAATCAAAGAGGATTATGATAAAAGTTATAATGAGCTTGAAAAAAAGTACCGGGAAGCGTTAGAAAGAATTGAAAAAGATACTCTTTTAATAGAAGATTTAAAAGCTGAACATTTATATTTGCAGAAAGAGCATGAAGATGTCTCATTACGACTTGCAGATCTTCAGCATGAGGCTGTTAATATGGAAGCTAACCAAGATGCGTTCAAAAAATTTCTTGACAAGCTTTCTATGGAGTTACAAGAAAAACTAGGAGAAGATCATGTATCAAAAGATACAGAATCGGAAGATCTTCAAGAGCAAGCACAAATTATTGGAAGACAGATTGTTGCTCATTTAAATCCAACTCGTAAACTGCAAGATGATTATGAGGCAATTAAGCAAGATCGTGAAGACTTAGAAGAGGAAGTTAGATATTTGAAGTTTGCTCTTAACTCAAGGTTGGAAATAAAGTCTATGCAGCAGCCTGCGATGCAAAAATGTGATTGCAGCAAACAGAAAGACATCTTGAAAAGTGAACGAGATGAAGCCCAAAATAAATTGACTGCTTTAGAAAATGAAGTTAACAGGCTTCATCAAGATAAACAGCAACTGCTAATGAGTTTTCTTAATTTACAAGCCTCCCAACGGTCAAGAGAAGTGAGTAAGTCTGAAGTCAATTCTTCTACAGATGATAACATAACAGATGATGAAGATGAAACAGAAACTGAATATGATAGTAAATTTTTTCATATTAAAATTTTTACTTATTATTTATGAATTTTACGAAAACATTTTCTTTTTAAGTTGTGGGAGAGAATTTATTTTATATGCTGAATATTGCAAAGTTTCAAGAGATAAGCCATAAATGAATTAATATTCATTAATTAATATTAATCAACTTTATCATTATTAAACTCTTAAAGTTTTTAAAAAACAATTTCAATGTTAAAACTCTAATCAGAAAGGTTTACATATAGAAATAATTTTTTTTCTTTAAACCATTAAATTTAAAAATTCATAATGTATTAACCTACTTAAAGTATAAAAACTAAAAACTTTAAAGTATACTTTCTATGTTGGTGTTACTGTTGGCTGGATAGTTCAGTTGATTAGAGCATCAAACGGAATGTTAAAACCCGGACTGTTGTGCGAAATGAGTTTAAATACAACCAATGAGAGCAAATGAGTGATACTTTCAGTATGCAAAAATGTTGGTCAATAATGAATGCTACTTTGGATTAGTCAAGTCAATAAGAATATTACATCAAATAAGACAGCTAAATAAAGTTAATCAGTTAATTCATTGAATTTCTTTACTTAAAATAACTCAACAAACAAATTATAATAATAAATAAAACTTTATAAAAATTGAAACAAAATGAAACAAATAATTTACAATAACAGTCTTTTGTAGTTTTTTTTTTTTTGATTAAATAATTTTTTACTTTGTACAGAGAAAGGGAATTAACTTTGCTAATAATTTTTTACAGAAAAATCATTTATATAAGAGTCAGTGAACTAAATTGTTAAATAGTTTACAAAGACCTATTCTTAAATTAAGTAAATATTTGAAAGTAAGTAAAGAAATTTTGTTGCATTTACTTGGTTAATATTTTGAGTTATTTTCTAATTTAACAGATAACAGGTGAAGAGCTTAAACATATGACCATGACTTAGAATAAATTTACTTTACAATTTTATTAAAGGTTTATACATGATTAATATATATTATATACTATATTAAATTATAATACAATTAAGGCTTGCAGCATTGCATTAAAATGTTTTAATTAATTTAAAATTAATGTAATTAGTTAAATTATTATTGAAAGTTAAACACATACTTCAATCATAATTTAGAATCATTCATGCTTTATGTTTTAAGATCAATTTTTCAAAAATTTAGAATCATTCAATTCATGTTACGTGTTTATTATGATCATATTGTTGCTGTTACAATAACATATAACTTATTGTATTATTGTATTTATGTATTGTTACACATAACTTGATATTATAGAGATAAACCACCTGAAAAAAGTCTTTTTTAGATTAAGAAAAGTTTTAAGATTATTTGTACCCAAATATGCAGATTATATATATATTATATTTATATATTATATTTTGTATTATATGTTTCATTTTTTATACAATTACAATCAGTTTTATATAGTTTATAGCTATGTTTAAGATATTATTTTCTTTTTCTCAAACTCATTTATTACTTAAATATTTGTTTTCATGATTTATTCAGGTGAGGAATATGAGAAATCACAACCTGATTCTTTGAATGATAGTTCAAGAAAAAGCTCATTTAGTGACATAGCATGGAAACAAAATCAAGTTTCGAATTGCAAGGAAAGCTTTACTTTTGACAACTCTGAAGATTCTGCCATTCGTTTTCAAGAAATGTCGAAAAAAAATGAAAGATTAGAATTAGAAAGAGCTGCCATGTTGGACTCATTATGCAAGCAAGTTGAGAGAAATAACACCCTTGTTGCTGAGTTAGATGACTTAAAAAACAAAAATCAAACAAAACAAAAATCCCGTCCTTCAAGTTTAATTTCAAACAGTGACAGTTTAAATAGTTTGGTTTCTGATAAATGTTCACAATGTGCATCGTCAGGTTTATTTCATTATTTAATTTTTGTTATAGTATCTTTTTGTACATTTTATGTTTAATAAATTTTTGTAATATATTTTTTGTCTATTATATTTGTAAAAGATGTCATGTATACATTAATTACTCACGGTATAAAGCATGTACTCAGGGTGTTAGCCAGGAATATATTTTTTACTGAATTTTTGTGATATTTATATTGTTATTGTTCTACGAAATATTGGGGATTTTTATTGAAATTGTTCCATTTCTTCACTAAAAAATCATTGAATTTTGGAAATTTTAAATCAATTGAGAATTCTGCGATATACGCGGTGCCGTCGGGCTGGCTAACACCCTGGTATTTAACATATATTATTATTGTATTCAACTCACCAAGACCGAGGGGGCCGTTACAGTTAAGG